ATCATCATCATCATCATCATCATCATCATCATCATCATCATCATCATCATCATTGTAGGTAGCAGGGAATGAAAAAAGGTTTGAGACTTAGTTTCAACGTTTCGACATATAAAGGGCTTCTTCAGGAACATGTACCAAAAAAATAATAGAAAATCTATTGACAAGCTATAGCAACAAAAGTGCGCACAAACACGCCAAAATGTCAAAAGGTGCGATAAAAACAAATCGGGGAGACCAGAGAAAATTTTAGGCTTTGGCAAGAAGTGGTATGAATATAAAATAGTATATACGTCAAATCATTATTTGTATTATATATAACCATTAATATTAATGTAGATGCAATTAATAATGCTAGTAGCAGCAGCAGCAGCAGCAGCAGCAGCAGCAGCAGCAGCAGCAGCAGCAGCAGCAGCAGCAGCAGCAGTAGCAGCAAAAGCAGCAGCAGCAGTAGTAGTAGTAGTAGTAGTAGTAGTAGTAGTAGTAGTAGTAGTAGTAGTAGTAGTAGTAGTAGTAGTAGTAGTAGTAGTAGTAGTAGTAGTAGTAGTAGTAGAAGCAGTAGTAGTAGTAGTAGTAGCAGAAGTTTTAGTAGTAGTGGCATACATTATCTACGTAAGGAAAGGAATTTGTAAAACTTTAAATTCCACACAGGTAGGAAACTTATGTCCTCTCGAAATGAGCGCAAAGGCAAGGTAGAAAAGTACAAGTTAACTCCTCCGTATTTCTTACACCCACTGTAAAGACCAATCTTCACCGCATCTGTCCACATTGGACATAGATGGACAAATAATCCTAAATATCACAGTAACTAGGGTAGAAATAGTTGTATAGTAACTTAGTCTTTCAAAATAGTGTGATAAGTACCCTACGTGGTAAATTTTAGCTCCCTGAAATGTGGCTCGTCGAAGTTAAGACCACTGAGGATTTGGTGAGAACCCAAGTTCCAAATCCACATTGATCCTCTTTGATTTAGATTTTCTTTTGTAGGATTACGAACTATTTCAATGACTTGAAGCTGCAGGTCGGGGGCTCCATCATCGTCGTCGTCATCATCATCATCATCATCATCATCATCATCATCATCATCATCATCATCATCTGTCAGTCCGAGATTGGCCATGGTGCGCTGAAGTTGGAGAGGTGAGCAGAGTAAGTATGATTCCCTGTAAGGACTTCTCTGTGGACATCCACCCCTTGGCGCTCATATGACCTAATGCAGTTGCGAGCGCCGTAAAATCTCTACTAAAACTATTTAAAAAAACAGACCTTCTCTGAATTAATGTCTAAATCAGTCTATCTGGCCAGGACCTAAATCATTTACATTGGCCTAATTTAAATTAGTCTGGAAAATGGAGGGCTAGATATCTATGTTAATTTAAGAAAGTTTATAGGAAAGGTGACTATAGAAGCCAACCAAAGGCTAGATTTGGTAAAGACATCTATGGAAAACTCAAAGAGGTTATAAATAGCACCAATTATAAACTATTTGGAACAACTGGAGCAAAGTGTTACCAAAGATCGTGTAGTAGACAATCTTTGGTGTTACTGCGACGCTGGAGGCATGCCCAAGTAGAGGGCTCCTTTGAGATTATCTATGAGGAAGGCGTTCCACAAGAAGGGACCTAAAAAGCAATAGGCAATCATTAATTGCTATCCGACATCCGTCATCAATCGACTATCTGGCACCTTCATCATCATCATGATTAGCAACAGTGTCTGTCACAGCAGCGGCAGCAAGAGCAGCAGCAGCAGCAGCGGTAGCAACAGCAACAGCAACAGCAACAACAGCGGTGGCATCTCTTCGGGGGGGATTCAGGGAGGTTGGACTGCCTCACCCGCTACCCAAGGGAGGCGGTGGCCCTGGCGAAGAGCACGTCTTCGTGGCTCCAGACATTTCGAACGGATAGGCTACCACACACACACGCACACAGCAACAACAACAACAACCATCATGATGTCATTACTTAGCACAAGACCCACTTCCGTTTGCGAAACGCCTTTCCATCTCGGTCACTTATTCCTAGGGGGTTTACGAATAGATATTATGGGGAAAGCGGAACATTTTTAAGTGTATGTGTAGAGGTGTGATGGGGTGGGGTGGGGGAGAGGCGCAGAGAGGTGGAGGTAACACATAGAGTTATCCCCTTTTTAAACCCTAATAGTGTAAATCTGTGAGGTAACAAGATTTCCCACTGCCCCAACAGCATTGACGTAACTTCTGTAACGGTTCCCCGTGAAACAAGTGAACATCTAGGCTTATTATGCAAACTTTAAATTAGGCTAAGTGTTTCGTCAAGATCTAGGCTGCACCTACTTTCCTCTTCGTCCTTTTTCATGTTCTCCCCATATTATTATAGCCTCGTTCCATCACGTGCCTTGGTTTGGAAATGAATTATATTGTCTGTTTGGCAGGGTGTAAACCCCATACCTGTCACTAAATAGGGGCTCTGGGTCACGGTGCTCTCGTCTCTCTCCCCGAGCCAAATACATGCAACGACATTTTTGTACTGGGCAAGAAGTAGGGCGTTTCTTTTCGACCTCTGTTGTCCTAATCCTTGCTGCCACATACGTACATTTTCATCGTAGTTAACTTTACCACTTCTGTCACCACCTCTTTGTCTGATTTATACCCCTAGCTGCGACGATTTAATCACCCCCCCCCCCAAAAAAAATTTATTATTATAATTAATTTAATAATAAAATAAAATAAGAAGAAAGAAAGAAAGAAAGAAAGAAAGAAAGAAAGAAAGAAAGAAAGAAAGAAAGAAATAGTGCAGTAGTTTTTAAGCTCCCATTGACATAATTTAGATCATTTAGGAGTGTAGGCCTACTTTGACCCTGCCTGTTGGGTTGACCTGGGCTGAGAGAAATACAACGTCTCAGCAGAAACGCCGAGATACGGTACTCGAAAAAAGTCTCCGTCCTCTTGTCCGTACTCGGGAATCGAAGTCGGGTCCCGTGCGTGTGACAGGGAAGCGATGTAAGTGCGTGCAAGAATATTGACTCATGTAGCCTCTACCAGTTTACTAATGATATCCTGAAATCTTCACTCCTTTTGTGAACTGGAAGAGAATACTGTCCGAAACATGGTTCAATAATTCTTTGCGTTTTAACATTTTAGACCCAAAGGACTAATGGGGAAAAGTGACATCCTTAATGCATGGGGAGTGGGTTTCAGGGAAACAGTAATCCGCCAAAGTATTACATTATGTCCCCCATGATAATTATACTTTCAATAGATGCCACAGTAGTCTATACAAGACTGTGTCACAGTAAAGTGTTCAAGTTAGAGTGACATGCCCAAACAAACTTGCCGATAGATAATAAGATAGAATCTAGATCTAGTTTGCGGGAAAAAAACACCACCACCCCCCCTCCCCCCCCCAAAAAAAAAAACCAAAAAAACAAACAAACTGGGCAGCTTCGGAAAGGTAAGAGACAAAAAAGGTGCTTAGTGAAAAGGATCAAACATGTTAGCTTTAAAAAAAAGAGCTGGGGGTTTTGAGTGAGAATGGGAAGGGGGCAAGAACCTTAGAATATTTCCGTTTACAACCGCCTTGGGTGGCAATGGGTTGGGTGGTGGGGGTGGGGGGAGTACTGCTTAGAAAGAAAGGAAATGTAGAACAGTTTGCCTAGTCACGCTGTCGACAGGAGGAAAAAAACTCCCGCAGAGCCATTCACGAGACTGGCAAAGCTGGAGAGAAGAGTTATGGTCCGTGTGAGTGTGACACAAACGCACCCCTTTTTACACTTGATTCATTCACGAGGATGACAACGGTTAGAGCGAGCCGCCTTCATTAAATATTTCCCTGTTTGTTTTGGATTTGCTTTGCTTTTATTTTAACTCGCTCTTGGTGTTGTTTTTGTTTTTGTTTTGCTTTGTTTTGTT